AGATCCTAAACAATGTACAAAAATCAGTTGTCTTCCTATATACAAACAGTGGGCTAGAAGAGGAAAAAATCAAGAAAATAATCCAATTTACAATTGCATCAAAAACACCTAGCAAGCTTAACAAAGGAGATGAATATAATGAAAACCAAAAGACATTGTTAAAAGAAACAGAGGAAGACACGAAGAAATGGAAAGATTCCTTCCAGGTCCATCCATTTTACTGCAAATGGCATGAATTTATCTTTTTTGATTGCTGAGTAATATTCCATTGTCTATATATACCACATCTTCTTGACCCAGTCTTCTATTTTCGCGTATTTGGGCTGTTTCCATAGCTTACCTATTGTAAACAGTGCTGCTTTAAGCATAGGGAAATAAGCCAGGAAGAAAAAGAAAAATATCGGATGCTTTCGCTTGTAGGAAGAATGTAGAGGATCCAAACAAGGGATCGGGGAGTGGGTGAAGTTATTATAATAAAATGAAAATCAAAATCAACAAGCAACTATAAACCAGAGACATTCTGCAGAGGGGCAGAAGGGAGTAGGATCAAAACAGGGGTGGAAAAAGCACAAGGGACTATGTTGATGGCACATGGGTGAATTGGTAGTAGGAATTTCATGGGGATTATAACTGAGATGAGAAAGCACGCACTGTAAAAAATGAAGAACGATGTAAAAAATACACACACACACCACAAAAGAAATTTTAAAAAAAGACATGGAAAGATATTCTCTATTCACACACTGGAAAATTTAATACCATTTGAATGATCATCTCACCCAAAGCAATATACAGATTCAATGCAATCTCTATCAAATTTTCAAAGGTATTCTTCAAAAAAATATATGAACGTTACTCAAATTCATGTGAAACCACAAAAGACCCTGCATAGCCAAAACAAAACTGACAAAATAGAGGAAGAATGATGGTATCACACTCCCAGATGTCAAACTATACTACAAAGCTATAACTACAACAGTATGGTACTGGAACAAAAGCAGACATGCAGACCAATGGAATAGATTTGAGATCCCAGAAATAATCTCACACCTAGATGGACAGTTAATCTATGACAAAGGAGCGAAGAGTATACACTGGAGAAAGGAAAGCCTCTTCCATAAATGGTATCTTGAAAACTGGAGATCACGTATAAAAGAATCAAACTAGATCATTATTTCATATCTATACAAATTAACTGAAAATGGATAAAATAATTGAATGCAAGCCCAGTAACCATAAAATACAGACAAGAAAACACCTAGAACACTTTATGACAAATGCTTCAGTGATGTCTTTGTGGGTTCATCTCCAACAGCCAAAAAAAAAGAGAATATGAACAATGGAATTACACCAAACTAAAAAGCATGTGCACAGTGAAAGAAACTATCACTAAACTAAAAAGACACCTTACTGAACTGAAAATATTTGTACATCATACAACCGAGAAAGGCTGATATCCAAGATCTACGAAGAACTTACACAACTCAACAAAAAGAAAATAAAGAACCCAATCAAAATATGGGCAGAACAGCTAAATAGGAACTACTCCAAAGAAGACATGTGGTCAACAGACCCATGATAAAATGCTGATCACCACTGACTGGCAGAGAAATGCAAACCAAAACTACAAAGTTACCACCTCATACTTGTGAGAATGACCCATATCAAAAAGTGTTGGCAGGAATATAGACTGGTATAGCCCCTATGAAAATCAGATGGAGATTCAATAAAATTTTAAAAATAGGGGCCTCCCTAGTGGCGCAAGGGGTTAAGCACTGCACTATGAAGCAGTTGCAGCTCTGCAGCACGAGTTCGATCCCGGCCTGCCAGAGAGCAACCCACATGGCGCAGCAGACCTCTCCTGTCTCGCCCACTGCTCCCTTCAGCAGTGTACTTCAGTCAATCTGCCTGTTCTGTTCCCCACTCTGTCTCTGGTGAATCCTCTCACCCCCCGCATCTCTGGCCTGTGCTCCAGCTCTTGCATGCGTAAATAGATGAATCTTAAAAATAAAATAAAATATTAAAAATAGATCTGCCATATGATTCCACTTACAGTTATCTACCCAGAGAGTGTAAATGCACTAATCTGGAGGTAAATATCCACTGCTATGTTCATTGCAGGGCTATTTATAATAGTCGTTATGGAAGCAGCCTAGATGCCCAAAGACAGATGAGTGGATTAGGAAGATTTGGGACACACACACAATGGAATATTACACAGCCCAAAATTAAAATGATAAATTTTAGAGTTTTGTAACAACATGAATGAAACTGGAGGGGATAAAGACTGCTAAGTGAAGTAAGAAGAGGAAAGACAAATATCACATGGTGTCATTCATATGTGGAACACAGAGAAACAAAACAAAGATTCAGATAAAAATCAAAGCAAAAGTAATGCCTAGAAATCTGGAGAATTGAGGCTACCAGAGGGAAGAGACCAACGTGCGGAGGAGGCACACTGGACTATGGTGGAGGACAGTAGTGGTGGGTATAGTGTGGTGACATACACCTGATATGTGTAATCCTATACCTTTAAATCATATTCAGTGTTGTAAACTAATGTTACCTCAATAAGAACATATAAAGTTTTTACTTCGGATGAAAAGAAATTCTCAGGTTTTCCCTGCACACAAACCTTAATCACTGATTGTTAAGTTTAGGCTTGACAAAGAATCCCTCCTGAAGGAAGAAGCTAGTCAATTGGGAAATGTCGATATAATTACTACTTTTCTCAAGAGCTTTTCCCTGAGAAATAGAAATCGTTGGCAAGTATTTGTCTCCATATTATTTGGTGCCCGGGATATTTAATACCGGAATAGCCCTCTTAGTCCAGCAATCAGACCTGCTGTCAAGACTGTGAAAGGTGAAGATGTTTGCTATCCTGAGGTTAGAGAAACACTGAAAATTCACTCTTGGAGATGGTGACCTATGAAGTAGATGGGCTTCAAAAGTGGCTGAGACAAGACTGTGCCTGCCTTTTCAGCACTCAAGATAGCAGGATGCTGGGGACCTACGACTTTCAACACCAACATTAGCACTCCTGCAAGTTGCAAAGTTTGGCATTGAGATTTTCAGGAACCAAAGAGGTGAGTGTGTCGGTTTCTAACTTGTGATGTGAAATTACTGAGTGTGGAAGAAATCACACTGAAAATTCTGCAATTGTTCCTCCATACCTTCATTCAGTATTCACTTACTCATTTTTTAGACTTTCTATGACACGCCAAATGTATGTCATTTACTTGGCACAGAGGAGAATAAGTCTGATGTGGCCCATCATCTGGCTCATGGTCCAGCTCTTTAGTAAAGTATTAGGAAATATGTAGCCAAGTAGAACTTAGAGCATGAGTTTCATTAGAGAATGTGTCGTTTTCATTTTATATCTCTAGTCTTGAGCTCAGTGTTGACACTGGTTTCTCAGTAACCTTTACTCAATAAATGAGAGAGGAGAGAGGGGGAGAGAGAGAGAGAGAGAGAGAGAGAGAGAGGGAGAGAGAGAGAGAGAGAGAGAGACTTGAATGTCTGCACTCAGACCAATGGACTGACTTTGATATCTTAATCTTCTTCCCAATTATCAGAACTACTTTTATAATTTTGTTTCCTTCCTATTTCATTTTTAGAAAGTTCAGGTGTTTAAACTCCCCCCTCTGATTTTCTGGTCCACAATATCTGGCTTAGGTAGGAAATCTAATATTAAATAATCAAACAGAGTATCTCCAGATGAGTTGACAGAATTTTGAATACAGATGAATGTAGAGTTTTGAGAATATTTTTAAAGGTGGTATTAAAAATATATCTAAAATTGAATACAGTTGTCAGCAGAATGAAAAACTTCAAACCCAATAAAGAAAGTTGCTTTAATGTTCACAGTTGAAAATCCTAGAAATATGAACAAATTATTTAAATTTCAGAAGATGGAGGTATCCTTCAGAAGAAATTGAGAAAAAAACTGTTTATCAGAACAATTTACAGAGATTATACTATTCCTCAGGGATGGAATTAAGACAAGAAGAAGGATGATTCAGGAACTACTGTATTCATTATAATCATATGTTTACATTTTTACATTCATCATTTTTTATAAATACTGTAATATCCCTAGCTGGTTCCAATGATCAACTCTACTAAGAAATCCTTTAATTAATACTCTATGTTTAAATATGATCTTCTACTTTTTACTGTAAAGCAAAGTCACTTTTACAGACTTGGAAGTCAGACATAAAATTATTTTTCTTGTCCAAGGGAATCAGCTAATAAATGCTGGGCTCAGATACAATCCCAGGCATATGGCTTTAAGGCTTGTCTATTTAACTACTACTCAAGCTGCTTCTCTCAAGCAAAGGCAGAAGCACTTGGTCCAGAGACTTCAAATCTGCAAACTGTGGGTTAACCCAGCTAGTAGACCTGTGCAATGATTGTTGTAGGTTTTATTTCATCCTAATAATAGTATCTAAACATCAGATGATTTTAGATAGAAGTTCAGATATTCTGATAATAATTATTTAAAAAAATTGTAAGGTCTGTATATAATATTGTCTCTGTTCACCTCTGTAAGAAATTAGTTGTAGGTTATTAAAGGTTACTACTCTTAGGCAGAGTTTGCTCTCCTGAAGATGCCACTTAGTTATAGTCATTTATATATATATATATATATATATATATATATATATATATATATATAAACATTTATGCTTGTGAGTTTCAACTTGGAAGTATTGTCTTGATGTTCATAGAAATGTTCAAATAGGAAATACACAAGTAGAAAGTTTTCAATGAATATAAACAGAGAAAAACTATTTTATATGAAACATATATATTATATTTGAAAAGGAGGCTTACAGAATATTAAGCAGAAATTAACTTCTGTGTAAAGTTAATTGAGCATGTAGATCCAAAGGCTACCTAAACCATAATTCATCTGCATGGGGTGCCTATCCTAAATAGGGAATAATAGTGAGGCCATCCCAACAACTATGATTTTCTCTCTCTTCTTCAGAAACACACAGAGAAAGATGGTAGCAGGAAATCATTCCACAGTGACTGAATTCATCCTCGCTGGGCTAACAGAAAAGCCAGAACTTCAGCTACCCCTTTTCTTTGTCTTCCTAGGAATCTATGTGATCACGGTAGTGGGGAATCTGGGCATGATCATACTGATAGGGCTCAGTTCTCATCTGCACACCCCCATGTACTATTTCCTCAGCAGCCTGTCCTTCATTGATCTTTGCCAATCCACGGTCATTACCCCCAAAATGCTGGTGAACTTTGTGGCAGAGAAGAACATCATCTCCTACCCTGAATGCATGACTCAGCTCTACTTCTTCCTTGTCTTTGCTATTTCTGAGTGCTACATGTTGGCAGTAATGGCCTATGACCGCTATGTTGCCATCTGTAACCCCCTGCTCTATAATGTCATCATGTCTTATCAGGCTTCTTTCTCTCTAATTCTTGGAGTGTACATTATAGGCCTGGGTTGTGCATTTGCTCACACAGGCTGCATGTTTAGAATACATTTCTGTAAATATGATGTGATCAACCATTATTTCTGTGATCTTATTTATCTCCTGAAGCTCTCTTGTTCTAGTACCTATGTCAATGAATTACTGATTTTAATCTTTAGTGCAATTAATATCCTTGCCCCCAGCCTGACCATCCTTAGCTCCTACATCTTCATCATTGCCAGCATCCTTCGCATCCGTTCCACTGAGGGCAGGTTCAAAGCCTTCAGCACTTGCAGTTCCCACATATCAGCTGTGACTATTTTCTATGGATCTGCTGCATTCATGTACCTGCAATCATCACCTGTCAAGTCCACAGATCAAGGGAAAGTGTCCTCTGTGTTTTATACTATTGCTGTGCCCATGCTGAACCCTCTGATCTACAGCCTGCGGAACAAGGATGTCAATGTTGCCTTGAAGAAAATATTAGAGAGAAGACGATGCCTGTGAACAGAAACAGAATCCAGATGATGATTTATTAGTTTTAAGCCATTTGCTATTATACTGTGTGAACTATATGTTTCCTTTTAGTCCATTCGTAATTTTTTTCTCACTTGGTAGGATTTTTATTGACATTGTTTGCTATTTCCATGAGCTTTTGATGCCATTTCTCTTTGTATTTCCTGTCATAAGTATCACTGAAACATATACTGCAAAAATACTATGGATGATCTTGATACATGGCCCTACTAATGCTATCACCATCATATCCTTCCCTGTTATTCTGTGCAGTTGATAAAAAAATCTTCAATCATAATGAAAATTACCAGCCATCTTTTATCCAGTCAAAACCAACAAAAGATCATGGCAATATAATGACTGCATCTTTAGTTTTTCCACATTACTAGTGTAAAACCTTTTTTCACATTACTAGTGGAAAATCTTTTTTTACCCAATACCTTTTATTTACCATGTTATTTCCTCTATTTCTAACTAAAGATATCACAAATCTGAGCTACAGACTCCTGAATACATTGTCCATATCTCCCTGCTTTGAGGTCTGTTAGACCAGGTGTAAGTGCTTGCTTACTGTCCAAATCCATACCAGACTATAATCTCCATCAAGGTAGACCCCTTACACATATGGTTCAATGCCATATGTCCAGGTAATAGAATGCTTGCTACCTAGTAAGTCCTCAGTACTTTCCATAGCATTATTTTCCTCACAGAATATTTAGATGAAAATCAATATATCTCCTACACAGACTTTACCCATTAACCCCTTCAATTCCTAATCCAGTCAAGGTGACACATAGAGTTAACCATCACAATGAAAATTCTAGAAGGCACAAAATGCACTCCTCAACAATTATTCATAAGATTCAACTCCCAATGCTCATAAACAATCTTGCTAACATACTTTTATATTAGAGTTTTGACCTTCCTGCTTCACTATTCTTAATTCTCTGCTCCCGATTCCTAGATGTTGGTTAGTACATAATTCCACTTTTAAAACAGCTTGCCAATACTGTGCAGAATTGAAGATAAGCATTTCTATACTCCAGCAATTCTGTTCCATAACATTAAATGTAGAATAAAAGAATATTCTTAGCACTGTTACAGAGTCATCTCTATGAAAAGGGGAGGAGCTGGCAGCACATTGAAGGGGCACAATTTTCCTTGTCTCCATTTACAGGTAGCTGCTTTGGGTTACAAATCCCAGTATGCCATGAAACAGACTTCCTGAGCCTGGGAGTTCCTGGGTACTAGCAGTGGAGATGAGTAGACTATGCAACATGGAAGGCAGGCAGGCCTATTTGCTCGCATTTCCTGTTTCAACTTGTATTTAGGGACTTGAAAGAGACACATGGAAGATAGGTAGAGATTCCTGGAGGAGATAATTGGAAAAGTATCTACTATTTTTAGTAGTCCTCAAACTACTGAAAATGGAGCTTCATATGACCCAGAAGTTCCGCTCCTAGGTATCTATCAAAAAGACACAAAAATGTTAATTCAAAAGGATACCTGCACCCCTATGTTTATTGCAGCACTATTTACAATAAGTAAGATATGGAAACAACCCAAATGCCCAAAAATAGATGACTGGATCAAGAAAATGTGGTATATATTCACAATGGACTATTACTCAGCAATCAAAAAAGATAAACTCATGCCATTCTCAGCAACATGGATGGAGCCAGAAAGGATTATGCTCAGTGAAGTTAGCCAGAAAGAAAAAGCAAAAATATCAGATGGTTTCACTTATAGGAGGAGTGTAGGGGAACCAAATAAGGGATAAGAAAAAATAATTATAATAAATTAAAAAACAATATAACAAGCAACTATAAATCAGAGACATTCTGCGGGGGAGAAGAGGGATCAAAACAGGGGCAGGAAGAGCACAAAGGACTTTGGTGATGGTGCACAGGTGAATTGGTGGTGGGAATTTTATAGGAACTATACATGAGAGGAGAAAGTGTGCACTGTACAAAAAGGAAGAATGATTAAAAATATATATATATAAATGTTTTTGTGTTAATATAATAGTTTGCAAGAGTAAAATCTCAACTCCCAATTAAAGATATTGAATCTACTTCTATGAGCAAGATCATTTAGCTCATTTATGAAGGGATACAGGGGCAGGGAAATAGTCTGCAAGCTTACTAAATATTAGAATTCCCTTAAAAGAAGGAATTAAATAATGCTGTGACTTCTGAATAAGGTGTTGGAAAGGAAACAACTAGACTAAATGGAGTCACTCATGCCAAGTCATAATATCAAGACATAATATCACATTTAATCACCATTTCTGCCTCACCCAAAAGTGGACATTGAAACAGATCACTCTGGAGTTTCCAATTCGGCACTAATAAGTAATCTTCATGACAAGAAGTCCTGCCCTCTACTAAGGGGAGGAATATTTGCCTGAAAAAAAAATTCTTTTAATTACCACCCCATCCTCTTTCTGACCATAAAAATCTTTCATTTTACACAACTCCTTGCAGAGTCTTTCTGTTAGCTAGATGGGATGCTACCTGATCCACTATTCATTTAATAATGTCCACCAGATCTCTAAATTTATTTGAATGAATTTTGGTTTTTAGCAGAGGCAAATATGATGCAACTTTTCCTTTATCTTACACTTTAATCTGATTAGGCTCTTGGGGATCATCTTCAGAAAGTGTAATTTCTCTATCACTGTGGGACCTACTGACTCAGACATAATATGATCTTGAGAGACTTGTCTCTCTCTGGAATACAGTCTAGTGCCATAAATCATTCAAAGAGTAGTACAGAATGACAACGTTCGTAGGAGTGTGGCGAAGACTTCAGCTCTGGAGAGTCCATCTGTGACTCTCCCTCACAAATGGGCAACTTCTTTCTCTATCAAGCATTTTTGAAGTCAGTTAAGGTTCAGTGGACAGTGTGTAAGGCACAGTGTCTTCTCTTCACAGTCTCTTCCCTCCTTTCACTTTTAAGACAAATTATTTTTATTTTGTATGGCTAAGGATGTAAATATCTTTATGTTCTTACATAGGTATGCTTCTATGTAAGAGGTTTGATTGTTGCTTATAAAAACATGAAACCAACACATCCAACAAAAGACTTCCCAGTTTTACATCAGTTTCACATTTTGGAGTTTTGCATTCTTTTTTGCAGCCCAACATTCTGACCAAGATGAAGAATCTTTCAGTGGTGACTGAGTTTATCCTGCTGGGCATACCACACACGGAGGATCTGAAGACCATGCTTTTTGTCATGTTTTTGTCCTTCTACATCTTCACTCTCATGGGGAATCTGCTCATCCTCCTGGCAATTATCTCCTCCACTCGACTGCACACCCCCATGTACTTCTTCCTGTGCCAGCTGTCTGTGTTTGACATATTTTTCCCTTCTGTCAGTTCCCCCAAGATGCTCTTCTACCTCTCAGGGAATAGCCGGGCCATCTCCTATGCAGGCTGCGTGTCCCAGCTCTTCTTCTACCACTTCCTGGGCTGCACTGAGTGTTTCCTCTACACCGTGATGGCCTACGACCGCTTTGTTGCCATATGTTTCCCTCTACGCTACACGATAATCATGAGCCACAGGGTGTGTGCCCTCCTGGCCTTTGGGACGTCATTTTTCGGCTGCATTCAGGCCATCTTTCTAACTACCCTCACCTTCCAGTTGCCCTACTGTGGCCCCAATGAGGTGGACTATTACTTCTGTGATATCCCTGTGATGTTGAAGCTGGCGTGCGCGGACACTTCAGCCCTGGAGATGGTGGGTTTCATAGCCGTGGGCCTCATGCCCCTCAGCTGCTTCCTTCTCATCCTCACCTCCTATACCTGTATTGTTTGCTCTATTCTTCAGATCCGATCTACTGAAGGCCGGCGCCGTGCCTTCTCTACCTGCAGCGCCCACCTCACTGCTATCCTGCTCTGTTTTATGCCGGTGGTCCTCATCTACCTTCAGCCTACCCCTAATCCCTGGCTTAATGCATCTGTTCAGGTCCTGAATAACCTGGTCACCCCCATGCTGAACCCCTTGATCTATAGTCTGAGGAATAAAGAGGTGAAATCATCCCTGAGAAAGGTGCTAATGAGGGTGATCCTCCTTCCGGTGAAGTGACAGAGATCATTAGCTCCAATTTAATGGCATCACAGTGCTTACAAAAAGTATTTCCTTTTATGTGCTAGAGAAAACACAAATTGCCTGCCTTTACATATAAAAAAAGCTAAGTTTTAAAGACACAAAGTGAATTGTTCAAGGTCACATAACTAATAAATTATCCTGCCCAGGGAGGATTATGTCCTCCCCAGTGGCTGAAGGGTCTTAACCTACTATCCTTCTTTCCTTGCTTTCCTCTCCTCTTCTTCCTACACCCTCTCTTTCTCCTCCCTCTCCTTTATCCTAGCACTGTGTCATGATCATCTAACTGTCCCCTTAAGTGTTTGTATTAAATAAGCCCGCATTTGATTGTCTAAGAGTTGTTGAAAAGTGGGAGAGCTTCCAGCACATAGCTTTACTGTCATTCTGTGACTCTGAAATATAAAATGTCGTGTAAAGCAGAGAGACTTCTGAGTGACACCTGAGGCAGGTCTTTTATGAATCTGCGATTCCGGTGTGCTGGCTCACCCACAAATCCTACCTGCTTATATAAGACCTGCACCTAAGGCCTTGAATAAGAGCTGAGGGAGGATGAAAGAATAAATATCAAAGATAAATGGGGAAAGAGTCTGGAAGGGGTGACTGTCTGTTGTTTCCCAGGATTAGAAATGTGAGTTTGAGTCTATAATCACCAGCACATCCATGGAGCAAGGCAAAGTCTTAGATGCTATCGTTCTATGGTCTATAGCTCGCTGCTTATCAAAAGGTGGTGACTTCAGGGCTCTCCCCCTAACACTCCCTTGTTCTTTTGCTCAGGGAATATAGCATGAGAAATGTGCTATTCCAATCCAGATGGCAATTTGAAGGGAAGAAAGGACAGTGGGAATATGAGGAGGTGATGCAAAGAGAAGGGTCTGAGG